CCTGGCCGTGATGGGAGGCCAGGGCAGAAGGGTGACATGGGAGAGCCAGGTAAGAGGAAGCCGAGGATGTTGGGTGCAAGAGGCCTGGGAGCCTCTTGGTTGGAGTATCCCAGGCTGTGGGAGCAGCTCAGGAGATGCCAGAAGTGCATGAACTCCTCCTCTCACTTCTCCTCAGGGAGAGCAGCGCTGACCATGAACACCAGAGGACCCAAAGGGGATGCAGGAGATCCAGGGCTTCCTGGTGCCCCAGGCGTGCGTGGCCCACCTGGCATGCCCGGCCCTCCGGGGGTGCCGGGGATGCCAGGGCCGGCGGGGCCGAAAGGGATCGCTGCCGATGCTTTGGAGCACCCTCGTCCTGCCTTCTCTGCCTCCAGGTTGTCCCCGCCACGCACAGGCACCACGGTGGTGTTTGACAGGATCATCACCAACGAGGAGAACTCCTACAGCCCCCAGACCGGGAAGTTCACCTGCCGCATTCCCGGCCTCTACTACTTCGCCTTCCAGGTGGTGTCCAGCAGGGACCTGTGTCTGATTATCACCAAGAACGGGCAGGGTGTTGCCAGCTTCTGCGACAACAACAGCCACGGCATCCTGCAGGTGAACTCGGGCAGCAGCGTGCTCAGCCTGGACCGGGGTGACCAGGTGTCCCTGAACACCAACCCTGCCCTGGGCAGCTCCATTTACAGCGGCTCCGAGGTCGACAGCGTCTTCAGCGGGTTCCTGGTGTCCCCAGCGGCGGCCTGAGGGACTCCCGCAGCGTTCTGGGGTGTGTGCCTGCCTGGCCATTCCCCTCTGGGTGTGTGGGATGCTTTAGTGCCACAGCACATGGGGGTGGTTCCAAATTGTGCATCCAGAAGTGTTCTGTGCTTCCACCAATGTCACAGCTGGCTGAGCTGTGGGTCACCACTGCAGCACTCACCTCCATGCTGAGCCTGACCACACTGTCCTGGACACTGTGGGTCTCATCCCTCTCTCCTCCTGGGCACTCAAGCTCCACTCCCAGTTGTCACCAGCTGTGGCTCTTTGGTCTGAGTGGGAGATCACTGCCTGCCACTGCTTCTGCTCCACTAACCACTGCAAAAGCCTTCCTGGCACTGGGACACATCCTGTCACCACCTCCCCATGAGAATAAATAAATGCTTTTTCTACCACTACTTACTCCTTGGGTTTTCTTTTCTACTCATGCATCTTCCCTAAACCATCAATATCCTGGATCTCTTCCCCAGCTACCCAGGGAGAGAAGTGATTCCAGCTCATCCCTGGTGCTGCAAAGGCAGGACAGGAGGGAATGGGGTGTCCAGTCAGAGCTGGAGGATTAGGAAACACCTGGGACAGGGCTATGTGTGTCCTTCTCTGCTGAGTCCTGCAGGGGGAAACACAGGCAGCAGATCCTGCACCTCACCCACATGGTCTCAAATTGGCACCCAAACTCTCCCAGGAAGGCAAAAGGCAGCTGTGGTCCTCTGGCATTACAGCAAGGAGGGACAGGGACATTGGGGCACTGCTGGGGTTGTGGGGTGATGGTGGTGGAGCTGCGAGGGTCTCACAAAGGGGAGCTACAGCAGGCTGGGCTGGTCAGGAAGCATCAGATGCCCTGGGATGCTCCTCAGAGGAGCTGCTCCATGAACACTGCACACTCAAATATCCCTGTTCCTAGAGCAGTGAGGAGGAGCCTGGGTCACCTGCCCAGTGAGGGATATTGTGGCCCCACCAAGTCCAGCACCCAGCAGAACTTGGTGGGACATGGAGAAAGGTACAGATCAGAAACTGTCAAAGGGAAATATTTTCCTGTCCTATTTAGGGGTGCAGCATCTTCCATCAGAGCCAAGCAGTGACCTTGAGTGCCACAGGCATCTCCAGCCCACTGAAGCTGGCCTCAGGCTCTGCTCCCAAGCTGCCCTTCTGCTCAGAAAGAAGGGAAGTGAGAGGGAAATCAGGGGTTTGGGAGGGGACTATGCCCTGCAGTGACTTGGGGGGGGTCTCCTCTGTCCTTTCAGCCCTTCCTGTTGCAGTGGCACCAGTACAGGTTTCACTGGACAGCCAAAAAAAGTGCTGGCTCAGCAGAAGCCATCAGGCAGGAGGATGTGAAATTTGGGTGTGAACAGCTGGGCTTCTGTGTTCCCAAAGCTCCTTTACCCTTCCTGACTCTGTGACTTCCTCCACGAGGGTGTCAGGGAGCCGCGCCCACCGCGCTGTGCTGGCAGTGACCACGCGCCCTGCGGGACCAGCAGCGCAGGTTCCCTGGCCTGGTCCCCACCAGAGGTAAGAGGTGCTGCAGGACCCCTGGCTGGAGGGTGGGAACAGGGCTCCAGCAGCACGGCACACTGCTGGGGAGGGGGAGAATGAGAGGAGGACGCGTATGAGAGAGGAGGAGAGGAAGGAGGCAGAGGCACAGACGGGTAGGTGTGATGGAGACAGGATGCACCAGCTGATGGAAGGATTGATTCTGATGGACAGAGCCTGGACAGTCAGGCTGCTGCTGGAGGAGGAGGGAGATCAGCTGTGTGCAGGGAGCTCCAGCCTCGAGGCAGCATGGGGTGACAGTCTGTGGTGGTGTGTGCGTCTCCAGGTTTGGGGACACTGGACTCAGAGGCTTGGGGCTGGCCACGGGTACCTCAGACCTCATGGCTCCATCCAGACTGGAACTCCTGGGGTTGGAGATGTGCCTGGGGCCCATCTCCACATCTCCACCTCCCCCCTGTCCTGCAGTGTGTGTAGGTGGGACACTGAGGACACAACTGTGGCTTCCAGGCATTCCTGGTGCATCCAGTCTCCTTTTCTCCATGTCCTGCAAGCCACCCTGCCATGGCCCCTCACTCCAGCACTTTCTTTGCCTTTCCATGCTACAGAACACCAAAATGGAGAAGAGATTCTTGGAGCAGCTCTACCTGGCCCTCACCCTCCTCCTTCTCCTCCTGAATCTGGGCTCTGCTGTGACTGTAGAAGACCCTTACAGCTGCTATGGAGCTCCAGGCCTGCCAGGCATGCCGGGGATACCAGGCAGGGATGGCCGGGATGGGCTGAAGGGAGCCAAAGGGGAACCAGGTGAGTGAGCAAGGAGGGAAACCACATGGGCTCTTGCAGGGGGGCACTGAGTCCTTGGCTGGTTTGCAGGATGCAGAGAGCATCCTCAGTGGATGAGGTGGAAGAGGCAGCAGCACTCTCCTGCCCAAGTGAAGGGGCTAGAGAAGCCTCTCCCCACATCCTGCCATTGACACTGACTCCCTTTCACCCCCCACCACCCCACAGGTATCCCAGCTTCTACACAGCTGGGGCCCAAGGGCATGAAAGGGGACCCGGGCCCCCCTGGCCCTCCAGGCAAGCCCGGCCACGCTGGGGCCCCTGGTGCGATGGGAGCCCCTGGGGCGCCGGGCAGTGCCGGACCCCCGGGAGTGTCAGGCAGCTTCCAGCAGAGGCAGCAATCGGCATTCTCAGTGACCAGGCAGACCAGCCAGTACCCCCTGAAGAACGTCCCCGTGGTCTTCAACCACGTCATCACCAACACCAACCACGACTACAACACCACCACGGGCAAGTTCACCTGCAGGCTCCCCGGCGTCTACTACTTCGTCTTCCACAGCTCGCACACGGCCAACCTCTGCGTCATCCTGCACAAAAACCACAGGAGCATGGCCAGCTTCTGCGACCACAAGACCAACAGCATGCAGGTCAGCTCGGGGGGCACGCTGCTGCGCCTGGCTGCTGCGGACGAGGTGTGGCTGGGAGTCAACGACTACAACGGCATGGTGGGCATTGCCAACTCCGACAGCATCTTCTCCGGGTTCCTGCTCTTCCCGGAGTAGAGGAGACCAGCAGAGCCCACCCCAGCGTCCTGATGCTTTCTGAGCACGCTGCTCGCTGCTGGGCTCTTCCCACGTTCCCAGATTCTCCGCAGGGAGGGGATCCAGCCCCTCCATCTGTGGTGGAGGCACAGGGGGAGTGGGCACATCTGGATGCATCTGCACACAGAGTGATGGTGCTGAGCTCCTGCTGGCACTGCCACCTGTATCCCCCCTGCTAACCCCACATTACCTCAGAGGTCTCTCTGTGGTTGTCTCCTCCCCACCTGGGCTGCCTCAGGTTCAGCCAAGTGTCCTGGCACAGGCTGCAGTGACCCCTTTGCCATGACCTGGCTGTGGAAAGTGTCAATAAAACCTTCCCCAGTGCACCTGGTGTAGTGTGGTGTTTCCTCCGTGTCCTGCCTCTCTGTGGCGTGCACACACGTGCAGGTGACATCTGTGTGGCATCAGCATGTCCCCAAACCTCACTGGCATCAGAGACCATCCCACCCCAGCCACACTGGGCTCTGCACAGGGGGTGGGACCCCTGGCTGCTGCAGGGACGGGATGGTTCCCATGTCCCCACACAGCCCAAGAGGGCACCAAGACTCCTCCAATCAGGGGCCTGATATTCCCTTTTCCTCCAGAGCTTCACAGGGGCACAGACTGCAAAGAAAACCCCAACACCATGGCTGGGACACCCCTGGGGTCCCTACCAGCATGGGGCAGGGGAGGCACTCTGGCTTTCCTGAGCCAGACCAAAGGAGCTCGTGGTTGTGGAGGCTGCAGAGCCCCCCAAAACCCAACAGGGATTTCTCCTGGTGTCACAAATTGCAGGGTGGAACGGGCAGTCGCCTCTCTGAACATCCTGTGCTTCACCTCCACAAGGCAGCAGCCAAAGCAGGGCTGGAAATGCTTTTCCCACAAGGTAAAATCACTTCCCATGCACAGCATTCAGGATAGTCAGGGGCACTCAAGGTGAGGGATGCTGAGACCCTGCAGCATCCCCTGGGCCTGCAGAGCTGGAAGCGTGTGGAGCAGCCTGAGGGCTGCTGGCTGAGTGCTTGCACATTTCTGCAGCTCTGATGGGTTGCCCTAAACTCATCTGGAGCTCCCAACAGCATTCCCCACAGCAAGCAGGACCCAGGGACCCTGCAGGGCAGAGCTGTGGCTGGAGGGGCTGTTTGGGGATGGCTTGTTCTGCTCAGCTGACAACAGCATTCTTGGAGGATCTGAAACTGAAATGGAAAAAGGACAGGAGCTAAAGATAAAAAGGGGATGTGTCCCAGATCCTTTCACAAGAACCCTTGCAGGAAACTTCTGCTTCTCCTCGTGGGCATTTCTGAGCAGGACGCTGGCGTGTCCTGCTCCATCTCCCCACCTGATCAACAAGGAGCTCAAGGTAAGAGCAAGGCTGAGCCCAAGGTTCCCCCTGCAGGCAGGAGCACGTGTGGAACCCAGCTCTGGCAGGGTGACAGGCACCTGCACTGCTGGCACTTCCTTGTGGCCTGGGGCAGAAGAGAAACAGGGGGTGGAGGTGCTGGGCTGGGGGTGGTGGAGGTCCCTGACGGGAGCCTGACCCCTCCTGCTCCACCTGGAAGAAGGAAAACATAAAAGTAGAGGTGGCAGAGTTCCAGGAGGGTGATCAGGGACTGAAAGGTGCCCTGGGGGTGCTCTCCTGCCCTGAGAAGTTCTTGTCTTCTGCTGGCCCTGGGCTGGGAGCCTGTGGGTTGGTCCTTGTTCCTGCTGCACCCAAATCAGAACGGCTGTGGCTGGAGGATCCAACTCACCAACCTTTTCTCCTGCTGGCACCAGGGCTTCAGCACTGGGAAAATCCACCTGAGGTGGGGGAGCTGTGGCTGGGGTGCTTTGAGGTCCAGACACAGCCCCCAAATGCCCAGTGCTTATCCACATGTTCCTACACCAGGATCAGGGGAAGGAGCTGGGCAGGGAGGGCAGGAGGAAGGTGAGACCCCAGGGATGGAAGCCCAGATAACTCTGCCAGTAAGGCTTGTTAGATACAGAAACTCCTCTGGGATTGAGCAGAGGACACAAGGGGAGCCCGTGGGGTGGAGGAGGGAGGTTTGGGGGCTCATTGCCATCTTCAAGGACTGGTGCTGTCCTTCAGACATGCTGGTGGAAGGCAAAGCCCATTCCCTTGCAGATGATGGAGCTGCTCTGGTTGGGTAAGGATTTCACCCCGGTCCTGAGATGGGGAATTTCTCCCACAAGGGAGCAGCATGGCCACGTTGGACATCAGATCTCTGAGATAACCTGTCCCAAATACTCGTGTGGCTGAAGCTGTGGGCACTTACAAACTGGGGATTTGAGAGTGACAAGAGACTGACAAGCCCTGCCTTGCCCAAGGGTTCTGGCCCTTTGCTCCAGGGCCAGCAGGAGAGTGGATTTGGCTCTGCAGTAGGATGTTTTCCCTCCCTGATGGTATTACCCAGACTTGCTTGCAGTCACCACCGTTCAGAGCAGTTCAGAGTGCCTTCCCCAGCCCTCCCACCTCCCAGGAAAGCCCCCCTGACTCCCTTCCGTGCTCCCACAGATGTGGACCGCGTGGGCCATGCTGATCTGCCTGGCTGGAGGGCAGCTTGCCAGTGCCACGCGCTGCAAGACCTACGGCACCGTCCCAGGCATCCCAGGGCTACCAGGACAGCCTGGCACCGATGGCAGGGATGGGGAGAACGGCCCAAAGGGTGAGCAAGGTAAGGAAGAGGCTGCAGGTGGGTAAAATATTGTCCTGTGAATGCCAGGAGCAGGGAAAGACAGTGCCAGGCGCGTGGTCCTGGGAAAGCAACCCGTTTCCAGCGGTTCTTTGAGGTGTTGTCAGGTGGGGATGATGGAGCACCCCGAGGAACCTGGGGGGAAGAGGGGGGTGGCAGCAAGGTGTGTCACACCTGCCTGATGGGCAGGGGGTCTCCACAGACCCACACCCAGCACAGGTTTCCTCGCTCGTGCTCCCTCTCTGCAGGGCTGTGACCACAACGACTCTTCCTCCTCTTCCCTAGGACCCCCCGGGCAGAGTGCATCAGAGAGAGGGGAGAAGGGAGACCCGGGGCCACCGGGACAGCCTGGGAAGGTCGGTCCCGGTGGCATCCCAGGCATGTGGGGCCCACCAGGTAGCAGGGGGATGCCTGGCCCCGTGGGAGAGCCTGGCGACTACAAGATCACCTTCAAATCCGCGTTCTCCGCCGCCAGGAGCCTCAGCTCCTACCCCCGCCGGGATCACCCCATCCGCTTCGACCGCATCATCGCCAACGAGAACGGCCACTACGAGAACCGCTACGGCCGCTTCACCTGCCGCGTGCCAGGCACCTACTACTTCACCTACCACGTCACCTCCCGCGCCAACCTGTGCCTCAACATCAAAAAGGGCCGGGGTGCCAGCAGGGGGGACAGGGTGGTGACCTTCTGTGACTTCGTGCAGAGCAGTTTCCAGGTGACCACGGGCGGTGTGGTCCTCAAGGTGGCCATGAACGAGTCTGTCTGGCTGGAGCCAACGGAGAAGAACTCCTTGGTGGGGCTGGAGGGGTCTGACAGCATCTTCTCTGGCTTCCTCATCTCCCCTGAGGCTTAGCCCACTGGAGCTGTGTCTGTGGCCGACCTCTGCAGTCCCTGCAGAGCTGAGGACTCCCCTGGAAACTCTGTGCTCCCAGATCGGTGCTTGAAGCACTCTGCTGCCATTCTTGCACAATAAATGACAGCAATTCGCACTGCTGGCCCCTCTCTGGATAGGATTTGCCTTTTTCCTCCCAGATAACTTTCACATAACCAGGGCACTGCTTCTCCCGCCGTGGGTGCAGCCCAGGCTCGTTAGCATCTCATTGCTGCTGAGCAGAGCCAGACAAGTGGTGCAGTTCCTGCTGCAGGCCAGGCCGGGTATCTCTGTCCAGAGCCACCCAAAGGTCCCAGCCCAGGGTTAGGAAAGCAGGGAGAAGCACCTCAGCCTTTAGCAGGGGGCAGGACAATGACATAGTGGGAAACCTGAGGCCACTGAGTACTGGTGGTGGGTGAGGAGATGCTGGACATGGTGCTGTACTGGAGAGTCCTGACGGGATCTGGGGACAACAACCTCTCTTAAGGCTTTTTTTGGGGTGATGGTGACAGAAACACCCACTGAGGATTGTCAGAGCTTGTGACAAGGTGGGACAGGTGAACATGGGCCAAGCACCTGGATGTCATGATGGGGCTGGTGTGGAGAACACCCTCACTGCACAGAACCCCAGCACAGAACCGACACATCCCAGGGCACAGCCAGGCCCTCCCAGCCTGCTCCTTATCCATAGCACAACTGTGGACCCAGGAATTCCAGGTGGGTTAAAGCTGAGGAGCCCAGGGACACCCCTGGGCTGGGACAACCCAGCACTGCACTCCCTGCAGCCCCCAGCCCGTCCCATGGGGGTGGACACGGGGGAATTCAGGACTTTTTATGGGAATCTGGGATTTGAGAGGGTCGGGATGGAAAGGAGAATGATAAAAGGTCTTGAGGAGGTGAGTGTGATGCGGACAGGATTTAATGGAGCGTCACCCCCGAGGCTCTCCAGGTTTGCTGGAGCATCCAGGGTCCCCAGCTCTGTCTGCTCGGGTGTCCCAGCGTGGCTGAGGCTCCCGGCCAGGAGGATTTGCCGGCAGGTGGCACTGGAGACTGGCTCAGAGCTCACCTGGCAGCGGCAGCATCCTCCTCCTCACCTGAGCTCCGGGGGCTGCGCCCACAAGCTCTGGGAGGAGGCAGCGGGCAGGATTAGCCCGGTTCATATCTCCTCCTCCTCCTCCTCCTCCTCCTCCTCACCACCTGGGAGATTTGTCCTTCCTGCAGCAAAATCTGCCCCCCGTGTCCCCAGCCCTGCTGCTCTCAGCATCTCCTGGGCTCACATTCTGAATTTCCCCCGGTGCCCGAGCTCTGGGCAGCCACCAAACCCACGGTGTTTCATGCAGCATCACAAATAAAACCGAGCTGGGCAAGGTGGAGGAAAAGAGCAGGTGTTTCATGCCCAAAATACACTGGGGAGTATCCTGAGCCCTGGGGGCTGGAAAAGGAGCTGGCAGAAACCCACTGATATTTGATGGAGACAAATGCAAAGTCCTTCTTGTGGCATGGAACAACCCCGTGTCAAAGGACAGGCACTGGCAGCGAAAAGCTGTGCAGGAAGGGACCCAGGATGGTGTAGGACACCAAGGTGAAGCTTTCTGCCTTTCCAGGTAATGGATATAATCATTTCTGATTTTTGAAAAGGTATAAAGGCATAAATCTGGCGCTATTTTTTAATTTATTTATTTAAAGAAATGTTTAAATAAATGTTCCCCTGCGGGGTGGTCCCAGGGACACCCCTGTGCACTTTGATACCAGCCTGGCACAGAGGAGGGAGCTCAGACATCAGCTCCAACCCCAAATCTCACCTCAGGGCTGCTCTCAAGTTCCTTCCCCCCATCCTCACCCATTTGAATTTGAATGGGAAGGAGCAATTCTTTTGCCAGGAGCGACACAGCCTGGCTGGTCTCCACTTCGAGGTGTGCAGGGAATTCCTGCTTTTCCTGGCCCTCTGCAGGGATCGGGAGCAGAGGCTCAGCGCTCTTTGGCCACCGAGGAGTTAAATCCCAGCCCTTTCTTTTTTTTTCCCTGCTCTGCCTCCTTATGAGGAACAGCCTTCTCCGGGCTGCAGAAAGGCTCTTTCTTTCCCCAGCAGATCTCTGGGAATGAAAAGTCTGTGTTCCAGATATTAAATTACTCATAAAATAGTTGGCGTGTCCCCGAGGCGGCTCCGCACCCCCCCAGCCCCCGCCGCCGCTCTGCCGGGGCTGCTGATGTGCATCTGCATGTCACCTCCTGCTACAAGGTCAATCTCTCCAATTTAAAGCAGCAGCGTTGGAAAGCAAACCAGATTTCAGCCGGAATTAGCTTCAAATGGAGCATTCAGGGGACTCGTGCTGGGAGGGGAGCGCAGGAGAGGAAAGACCACGGAATGGGGTGGGGGGCGATCCTGCGGCTGCAGCCCCCTGTGATGGGGTACCCCGAGCACCCCGGGATCCATCGAGGGGCTGGGATGCTCCCGGGGCTGGATCCGGGGGGCAGAGATGGACCCGGGGCTGGACCAGGGGCAGAGATGCTCTGGGGGCTGAACCAGGGGCAGAAATGGTCCCGGGGCTGGATCCGGGGGGCAGAGATGCTCTGGGGGCTGGACCAGGGGGCAGAGATGGACCCGGGGCTGGACCAGGGGCAGAGATGGACCCGGGGCTGGATCCGGGGGGCAGAGATGGACCCGGGGCTGGATCCGGGGGGCAGAGATGCTCTCGGGGCTGGATCCGGGGGGCAGAGATGGACCCGGGGCTGGATCCGGGGGCAGAGATGCTCTGGGGGCTGGACCAGGGGGCAGAGATGCTGCCTGGGGATGATTCCCGGGGATGCTCCCTGGGGATGATTCCCGGGGATGCTCCCTGGGGATGATTCCCGGGGATGCTCCCTGGGGATGATTCCCGGGGATGCTCCCTGGGGATGATTCCCGGGGATGCTGCCTGGGGATGATTCCCGGGGATGCTCCCTGGGGATGATTCCCGGGGATGCTCCCTGGGGATGATTCCCGGGAATGCTCCCTGGGGATGATTCCCGGGGATGCTCCCTGGGGATGCTGCCTCCTGCTCTGCTCTGGCTGCTCTGGTGTGCAGGAACGGCTCTGAAATGGCATTAATGAGCATTAATGAGCGTTAATGAGCTCTCCAGAGTGGGTTTTCCTCACTCTGGTGAGGTCTGGAAGCTCCTCCTGACACCTTAACACACCTTGGTTAAACAGAGCAGCCCAGGTGTCGCTAAAGGACACGGAAAGATTCACAAAAACACCTTTCAGGAAAGAACAAACCTTTATTCTCTGAATAAAGAATCATTTATAGATTCTCAACAATGACCAGGGATTGGAGAGTTAAGTTACCACCTTCCCAATCACACTGGTCACGAGGAACATCCATCAAAAGACGTTTATTAGAAGGAATGGGATAAATAATTTGTGTTTATAGAACTTTCATGGGAAAGAAACTGAAACTATGAAAACTTTATCAGAAAACTTTAGTTTTCAGGTCCCTGGAACTGGGAATATCCCCTGGAACTGGGAATATTGTCTGGAACTGGGAATAATCCCTGGCACTGGGAATACTCCCTGGAACTGGGAATATTGTCTGGTACTGGAAATATGCCCTGGAACTGGGAATAATACATGAAACTGGAAATGAATAATCCCTGGAACTGGGAATATCCCCTGGAACTGGGAATATTCCCTGGAACTGGGAATATTGTCTGGCACTGGGAATAATCCCTGGCACTGGGAATAACCCCTAGCACTGGGAATATTCCCTGGAACTGGAAATACTCCCTGGAACTGGGAATATTCCCTGGAACTGGGAATACTCCCTGGAACTGGGAATATTTTCTGGCACTGGGAATATTCCCTGGAACTGGGAATAATCCCTGGCACTGGGAATATTCCCTGGAACTGGAAATATGCCCTGGAACTGGAAATATTCCCAGTTTGCCGTGTGTGTGTGGTGGGCTGATTTTCTCATCTCGGGTTTGTTTGTGCTTCTCTCTTCACCGGGGGCTGCCTGCTGCCATACAAAGGGCAAAAAATGCCGCAGCGGGAGGTGCTCGGGAAAACCCAGCCGGTGTTTTCCTCCTTCCCTGGCTTTACCGCTAGATGTCATTGGAAAAACATTGGAAAATCCCCGTTCAGCTCTCCGGGATGGGATTTTGGAGGGGGGGGATGCAGCAGGTCCTTCACCCACTGCTGGACGCGGAGCATCTTCCCATCCTCCTCCTCCTCCTCCTCCTCCTTGGCTTTGTCTGTCCGCAGAGCCTCTGGAAAAACCATCGCCTGCGATGATTCAGGGTTCAATGGACATTGAAATGCAACTGAAACCTTTTTTTTTTTTTATTTATTTTTTTTTTCCCAGCGCTTGGCTAAGCCGCCCGCTCGGAGCCTCGCAGGAGGGAGCCGCACATCAGCCGCTCTCAAAGGGGCGAGGCTGCCACGCCGGGACCCCCGGCACCTACAGCAATATGGTCCTCTCCAAAAAAAAAATAAAAAAAAAAAGTGCCACAAACAAGGCTTTTATAGGCGATTTCTTTTCTTCTGGAGTGGAAGGGAGAGGAGCCGGGAGGGAGAACTCGGGGGGCGTCCCACCGCACAAAGGATCGCAATGAAAGGGGCACCAGCAAATCCTCTTAGGGGTTTCAGTGTGTGCACATTCATATCCCGGCCCCATCTGCCGGGGGGATCCCCGGGAGAGAGGGGGGAGAGGGGCTCTCCCTGCCCCGAGCCGCCAAAGCAAGCAAAGCGCATTCAGGGAGGGAGAAAAGCATGAAAAGGAAGAAAGGCAGAGCCACGGCTGAGCAGAGGAGGGGGGAATTCAGCTCTGCCGGGGATTCAGGGGGTTGTGGGGGATGGAGGGCAGAGCTGCTGGGGGCTGTGGGGGTCCTGAGCCCCTCCGGATCCGCAGGGATGGGATGGGATCCATGGGATGGG